CTTAAGGCGTCGGTACCAATCGAAGGCAGGCCCGCGAAGGGTTCCTACGAATGACCGGACCATCAGGGCTTCGTTCCCAGATATTGCGCCGAGATGCGACTTGAAATAGATCAAGTGCTGAGTTGGTGAACCACTGCCATCAAAAAGAGTAAAGTTAATCAAATTAAATTTCTGGGGATAAGGAATCAGGCCCCACTCCCTCGGGTACGGGTATGGAATGCCCGTTTTCTTCACTTCTTGAGCCGTCATCAGAGCGTTGACTTTGCTCTCGAGATCATGCATCTTCTTGTCCTCTTCCTCGCTTTTCTTCAAGTAGATCTGTGGAGGTTGGGAGGATGATTTGGTTGGACCGCTTCTAGAGTTGTCTTTATCTGGAGGAGGATCGTCGAAGATAGTCTCATCTTCTTCGTTACGTCGGCTGGACTCCGCTTTCTGGCTTAATTCCGGTTGGTGTTGCTGAACTTGCAAATCTCGCATCTGCTGCATGGTCAACTCCATCTCGGTCTTGAACTCAGCTCTAATTTCTTCGCGTTGTTTAGCCAACGCTTCTTGCAGTATATGAGCCAGTTGATCCGGCGTGATTGCGAATGATTCTCTGATTCGCCCTACACTGGATGCGGTACTGTCTGAAGCTATGGCGAAACAAGTATCTGACATTTCTTCATCCGAAGATAGCCCTTCGTGCATTCTCTTGTAATCTCGACGTAGGTTGGCTCTTCTTTGTAATTGCGACATCCTTTGAGAAAGACCCCGCTCAACTCTCCCTCCCGGAGAGAAATCAGGGTCGTGGTTAACTGACTTTTGCTTTTCTTTGTTGGTCATGTTGATAGTGACCTCAGGGAACTCATCTTGTCGGATTACAGGTTTCTTCTTGTTGAAACGTCTCATTTTGGGTCTTGACGCTTCATTGGACAATCTTTGAAATACGGAGACTCTTGTTGAATTATTTTTAGAGCATCCGCATTCTGTCAGCACTGCCTTAATGAGTCTCTCGCAAGCGCAATGAGACTCATTTTCCCGGACAACCCTCTTTCTTGAGTTATTTTTCTGATAGTACAGCTCATCATTATTATGATTCGAGCAACCTATCTCTTGTTTTTGAACTTTGTTAACGTGCACAGGATGACTGGTCGTCGTCTTTGGGTGATCCAAAGTTAAATTTTTAAATCCACCCCCTTGCGCGTGTGGAGTTTTCAGAGGTCCTAAACGAGAGTGAACTGGTATTCTCTCATTTTGGACTGGTGCAGTTCTGACAGGAGGGTGTTTACGACCCCCTGCATATGAAACCACTAAGGGTTTATTTACAGGATCTGGTTGTTCCTTGACCGAGGCTTTGCCTCGATTGTTAACTGAAGGACCGAGGCGATCCGCCATTGTGATTTTAAACTTAGATAAATCTGGGCTAACCCAGGGTTTCACTGATGATGCAGTAGACGGGCCTGGAACAGATGTTTGCGGCGTCTTCGGCATCCAAACTCTACGGTTCTTCGGTGGCTTTTCAGACACCGTCTCCTTCTTGATTCCTTGTGCTTGTTGACGAAGAGCGCGAGCACGGGCGGCCTTCGCCTGACACTTTTGTATCCGTTCCTTAAGAATTGAACGAGCTCTTTTGACGAGAGTCTACTCCTCCGTCGTAAGCTGTGCAGAAATGTGATTATTTTGCCGTTGAGGCAACTGATTCATTTTTTGTTTCCTCGACTCTAGGTCCGCATAGTAATGGACCACGTCGGTTTGTTGCATGGCCTTAGCCAATTGACGAGCACGGCGCTGGCGCTGTCTCTGACAAGCTCTCTTGGTCAGCACCGGTGAGCTATTGATCAACGACTCCGTAATGGGTGTAGAGTCGTTTTGAGCAGGGATGTTGCAGGCAGATTCCTTAGCGATGATCGGGCAAGAATATTTGCCTACGGCCTCCATTGGAATTGCAGACTTGAAAGTTTTCTTGGAAGACGAAATCTTCCTATATTTGCGAGACGAGGAAGATTTCGCAGATGAGGACGACAAATACTCCTTAAACTTCTTTGCTTGATCGAATTCATATTCGATCTCTTTATTGACAACGATCTTGATCGGTTGCGACACCGCGGCCTCGGCAGCGAGCCCGTTGGCTCCTACTGTGGTCGCCAGTTTGTTTTCAGCAAAAGTTGTTTCTGTTGAGGAATTCATTATATCTTCGTTTGATTACAACAAATTCAAAGAAATAGTCTTTTTATAAGACCTTTTCTACACAACAAAGCAAAAATTACAACTCTTGAGAAAATAACACAAAAATCGTCTATCGATTCTTGTTTTTGTGGGACTTTGCCTGTGCCGGGAACGCTTTGGTTCGTGGACCGCCGAATCACAGATCGTGAAGGGGGTTTACTGATTCTGACTTCGTTTATCGAAGTGAGAATTTGAAACGATATCTTATCAAAGTAAGATAGTCGTTCTTCTTAAAATCAAGTCAAAGCTCAATTTCAAGGATTTGCACGGAAACTCAAATCTGCTCTCTCTGCTCTGGATTGCTCGAAAATATGCTCGATCCTCGTCAGAAATGATCTTAGGGGGGTATTTATAGCCTCTGGGGTAATAACTGCACAAAACTCAAACAAAAAAACACGTTATGGCCGCGAGACAGTGTTTACTGTCTCGCTGGGCGAGACAGTGTTTGCTGTCTCGCTGAGCGAGACAGTGTTTGCTGTCTCGGCCCCGCGAGAAGTAAATGCTGTCTCGGAAGTGGAATATTCTGGCAGTTTTCGTTTTTAACTGCCTTCCCACGTTTCAAACTCCGTTATTTTGGTAGTTGTTCACGTGATTTTCGCCCAAGATGTTTCCCACGCCCCTTGGCAGTTAATGGACACGTGTAGGGCAGTTATCAAGGTGGTTTTTTGACCATTTCAACACTGTCTCGCTGGCGAGACAGTAAAATACTGTCTCGCTGGCGAGACAGCAAAGTCTGTCTCGCAGGCGAGACAGCAAAGTCTGTCTCGCAGGCGAGACAGCAAAGTCTGTCTCGCTGGCGAGACAGTTCATACCTGTCTTGATTTTCCAAAAACAGTATGAGATCAATTCTTGTGATTTTTTGAGTGATCTTCTCTATGTTTGGGATATCTATTAGCATTTTTTGACGCCTACACCCACCAACTTTGTTTATCTCATGTAACCTTTCTAATTATTAGGGTCAAACACTCCTGAACTTCAAACTTTTCTTACCGAACACCTATAGCAGTTAATTTGAAATAACTAAAAATTCTATAGGAGAAATAATAAATTTAAAATTTTTAGGGGAGAGGGTATCTTGCTTGTAAATGACAAATAATAGGTTTCAAAAAAAATTCTCTAAACAAAATTTTACTTATAATTGCAAAGTACAGGCTAGGGGGTCAGATGAGATAAGGTTAAATTTTAGTTAGTTTTGTGAGACACCTCCAACTTTAGGAGGTATATGCGATAAATAAAGTTCAAGAAATTATGTGCAACACAACCCAAACTTCAGGGGTTATATAAAATTCGGTTTTTTTCCTTATATACACCTTTCAATATTTGTAAAATTATCACTCAAATCTTGGTATTTGCAAAAGTACTCCTCAAAACTAGAATGCCGGGTCTTTCCATCACTCCAACTTAAGAATATTAGCTTTAAACAAGGCAATGTCAAAATTTCCAATTATTTCCTATAGGATAGGTCTGCAACAATTTCCCATTTAAAAAAAATTTACTAAGTCAAAGCGGTAGAAAAAAATCGATGTGAGAAAATTAGGGGGTATTTTACAAATACCAATATTTAAAGAGTAATTTTGCAAATATAAATTATTTGAGGGATATATATAGGGGTGCATTCGGTCCGGATACAGCTCGGATATGATGCTTACCATATCCATATCCGCTTACCCATCTCGGATACGGAAACAGATACAGATATATACTTTAGTAAGAAAAATTTATAACCATATTCGCTAAATTCGGATACGGTTACGGATATACATGTGGATATGCATACAGATACAAAATAGATTTGAGAAAAGTAGATAGTATTGAGAAAAATATAGTTCATGTCATACAAAAGAGTTCGTTAATATCTTCATTATAACTGAAAAGTTAAGATTAGACATCTTGATCATCAAAATTAACTATAGGCCCATAATCTAAGAATCAAAACTATCATAGGAGCATGACTAATATGTATTTGGATATTTCGAATACAGATACAAATATTTCGCTACAAAACTATATCCGTAATCATATTCTATCAGTTATAGATTTGAGTAACCATATCCATAGGATACGGTTACGGATATTTCCTCGGATACGGATACGGTCTACCACCCCTAGATATATATCTGCCTCCTCTCAGGGAATCTACCGTCCCAAAGGGAACTACGAGGGGGTTATTCGAAATTGGGTGGTGATACAGGGGCTGTTCGTAATTAAGTCCAGTTAAATAGACCAGCCTAATATTTCTCATGCGCATGACGAGAAACTTTACGCTCTCGTCTCCATTTTCGAGCCCGCTGAATCAAAACCTCAGACCCCATTCCGTTACAACTCCCCGCAATCCAAGCAATGGAAAAGTTCCATAACTCCTCCAACCCAAACCCTAATCTTCCCCAGATCTCACATCGTCATCCCCGTCTCAATGGCGTCTGGCCACGATCCCG